GCATCCGCCAATTTTAATTGTCTCAACTTTTTCAAACTACTAATTAACAAACCTGCTATTTAAGATTTTTTGTATTTTTGGGAAACTGGAATTAGCTCCTCTAATCGGCTTATTTGTCTTAATATCTCGTCGCAGATCATTTTTTCCCAGAACACACCTGGTATCCGGATAAACCGCGGCAAATCCTTAAAACAAGTGAGGAATAGGTAAAGCCGTTTAGATCCTCTATTTGGAAGCTGCGTTGCCATCCATCACGTTAAACTGTCTTCCTGGGACGCGTAGCTTCTCCTCCATTCATCATCGTCTAGCGATTCGCACCATTTTTCGCCTAATGACGTCATTTAAAAACGACCACTTTCGAAAAGCAGAGTCCCCAGGGAGTAATTTGATTAAGGAGTCGAGTTGAATGTTTTGTCGATATTTTCACAATTCGAAGTGGAAAAAATAGTTCTACATAAATGTAAAGTCGCTTGCTTGGTGAAATGATCAAAATCGGGATTTCTTATTCGGGGACTTAACGATGATTGATTACTGGACTAATGTAGTAACAATCAATTTCTTCCAAAGTGACTAGTTTTGATGAATGGAGCAAATTGGTGATTTATGCATTATTTAAACGCAAATAATCAATTCAGACAACAACAAATATTCATTCAAAAAATTGAAATTATTATTGGTTCTATTAAATTGTCAATTTTAGTATTTTCGTTGATCGATCTGGCACAAGTATTCAATATTGCAATTTTTCCGAATAATTCTTTTCTATCAAACTAGTAAATTTTTATCTCGCTGTGCTATTTTAACGGATTAAGCACAGGTTTTATCCCTTCGTGGATATTTTTCCAATATCGCAACGGAAATACAGACTTTTCAGATAACGTCACTGGAAGAAATCCAAGATTAGGGCCAACTCGCGAAATAAATAAAACACTTTAAGTCTAATTTATATCACAGCAGAAATTAAATTTTCGAGTTGAAAATCCAAGACATTGATAAGCAACCGAGCGTTAAAAAATTAACAAATCGCGTAATTAAAATGTTTGTGCTTGATGTTGGGGTTCAACTCGGAAAAATGATAAACCCCTCTCAATGCTATAATTTAGCCCGGATTAGTAATAACCTAAAGCTGCTGAAATTAACAGTTCACTAATTAGCATTCTGTAAATAATAATTAAACTGTCATTGCGACTCACTACAATTTATTACAAGTGATCTGATCGATACAGGGTGTCTCTTGGGGGACGACCGCTTCGCACATGTGCTATTTATTATTAAAAAGGTTCAAGCGCTCGATATTTTATTAACATAAAAAACATAACACGACATGTCGGCTTTTATAGATTTTTTAACTGAATTTATTGTCACATAACTGGACATATTTGTAATCCGATTACGGCCAAATTAGATTTAGTGCAAAGCCGCCTGTGCATAACAAAATCGCAATTATTTTAACGCCGGCTATAAAGTAATAGAAATGGTCGGTTTTATTATTATTTATTACACATATTTGGAATAGAAATCGACGCTTTGACCAAGTTTAGTGCTAATGAAATCTGGTTTGGTTAAAATATTTGCAAAGAGTTAATTGTGTAAGTTTCAATTTAGCTTATCACAGACATGGCAAATTACCTCCCTACTGAAACCGTCAAAGGGGATATTAAATCACTCTATTCAGTGCAGTGTGCAATTAAATTGTGGTCACAAAGGGGGTCTTAACATTAAGGTCCCAACGCGAAAAAATTGTTTGGAAAACCCTCACGTGTACACACTTCTAAATCCATTATCCTGCCACGAAAACACTTGTTTTGATAAATCCATAAAGTTGGTCTTTCGAGGACTAAACGATGAAAAGTTGCCATCGTACAACATGATGGAATCATTAAAAGTTGTAGTTCGAACATTGCTCGCTTGGAGAAGCTCCGAAATGGAGCTTTTGTTAGTTTTCTTCAAGCACTCATCATTTCCCCTTCATAAATATTTTACTTGAAGTTTCCATTGTTATAAGGAACACAAAATGAAAACTACGCCATTTTTTTGCAATTAAAATTACTACACTAAACTTTTACAAAAGTGCAAAGTTGACTAAAAACTTCCCTATTACCATGCCATTTGAATAATCGATACGAAAAAACTTTTGTCCTTTTGCCGGTGGGTCGTTTTCTCACCCTCAAGACAATACAACTGATTGATTTTCGGCGAAATTCGGGCAAAGGAAAAACGACAATAAGTGGAGGAGATTTGAAAAACTTGTGATGATGTTGAAGTAAATCAAGGCTTAATTAAGGACTTTATTATTCACTCGTTTTATTTAGTGGTAATTGAGGCTGCTGGAGTTCTGGATGCCTCTTAAAGGCCTTAACCCCCATAATTATAGTAGCAGCAGTATTTTATTCTTTGGTTTTGACGGCATGTTTCGTTGACAAAATAAAGGAACGAGATTTGACCCGAGGATCTTGATTTAGGATCTTTGTAGCTCAAATAAAATCAACAGGATTTTTAAACTTCTTTTAAATATACATCAATTGAGGTAGAAGAAAAATTTCTATTTTAAAATTGTACAATTAAGAATTTGATATATAAAAATAAACTTATGTACGTTTCACGTCATTATTGTTATTATTTTCTCCATCTACTAGTTAAAAACTCAACAAATACAGAATAAGACATTTATTTCAAAAAGTAGATAAATATTGAGAGTTAAAGATAATTTGTCATCTTTGGATCCGAAAACGTATGTCCGTTTTTGAACTAACTGTACGTGAAACGTCAAATAAAGTGACAAGTTTTAAGGTAAAACGGCAAAATGCACTGAAAATAGTCGCCAACCTATAATAATAGGACCGTTTGTTCTTGAAGGTAAATCATTAATTTAGTTAATAAAATTGTCATCTTTCTGATAATGCCATTTTACCTTTCAACTTGACATTTTATTTGACGTTTCACAGACATACGTTTTCATATCCAAGGATGATTCGATTATAAATTATCTTGATCTCTCGATATATGTATGTATGTTTGCGATGAAACGTGTAATTGGTATTTTATGTAGTAACTAGTTATTTCATAAAAGACCGAGCGAAAGTGGTTAAAATATGTAGAACAGTTTTGTTATTCCATCCTCTAATCTATAAAATAACGGTCCTGTACAAAATTGAGAATGGAATCAAAAAATAGACGACAAGAAAATTGTATCTTGATAAAGTTTGGGAAGTTACTTATTACTCAAAAAAAATAAAATAAATTGGTAAAATAATTTAGTACATATTAAGACAACTAGAGTTTTAAACTATAAAACATGTGTTGCCTTCAAAATTTTTTCCAACGCTAATATTGGAGAAATCTTACTAATTTTAGTTATAAAAAAATTGGCAAAACTGACAAAATATCAAGTTATGTATTTATAAAATACGATGTGATTGACGAAGTGAAAAGAAAAGGGCGCACACCATAGAAAGAGTATAAAACATTAGTGTTGAAAAAACAAATTAATACACTTTTGGATAGAAAATAAATGTAACAATTAATTATTCAAAACTGTTACAAATAGTTGCAAAAAGTGATAAGACAAAATCAAATACCCATACATCTGGTATTGTTTTTCAGCGATAGATTGGACTTTTTTAATGCAACAAAATCACTAAAAAATACTAAACATAAATCAAAAATTGAAAATAAAAGAAATTGATGTATCAATTACTTAAATTGATAATATAAAAATTATGCCAAAACAAATCCTTTTATTTGATCTTTTTGCCAATTTTAACATTATTATAGACCTTAAGATTCAATCTATAGTTGGAAAAATTATAATTCTATTGCTCAAAACAAAACTAACCCTTACAATTTTTATTTTTCTGATATTAATTATTTATGACCCTAATCCACTCAACGACGACTATGACCGAGAACCAATTTGATTATTATTAGAGGATTAAAAAATAATAAATAAGTCAAATTAGGTTCTAATTTTAGGTACGAAATTTCATTAAATTTAGTCTCTAAAGATATCATTATTTCGTTATTTTTGCTTTTATCAGAACTAAAATCAATCTCAAAAACTAGAGCTGTTACAAAAAAAATCCAAATATTTTTGGGAAATCATTTTACATCAAAATTTATCCTCATTATGGTTATATTAATTTTGCTGGTAGAGTGGTTAAAACTGAAAAACCCGTAGAAATCACTCGCAACTATTAAGTCGTAAAGCCCTTAAAGCCGTTAATCTTCGGCGTTCGCTCCCAAAACTCACTTATTTCGTTACAGAAACGTCAAATTATTTTTAATTTATCGTTACCTTGTGGCTTGGCAAAACTCGCTGTTTCCTTTCGTTACTTATTCAACACATAAACAGACGTCTAGTGAGAGAAGAGCGTCATTTTGTTGCCATTTACACAGCAATTTTATGTTTCACATATAAATTTGTTTTGAAAGAAATTTCGATAATGAATAAACAATTTGAAAAATCAACATTGTGAATAATGAATGACTGGAAACTATATATCGGTAGACCATGGATGTAAATCTCGTCGGCAACATCCCGGATCCTTGATATGCTCTATTCTCCCGGATTTGCTCTTTTCGCATTCATTCGGCTTTGAAAAATGAAAAATCGGTGATTCCCACTGCTCTTTAACGAATGAAAACAATTGGATTCAATGGTTTTCAGGCGGGTCGATGGAGCCTCAATCGACCTCAACCGAGTTCTAATTTCAGGCATGCACCTGGAGCTGGAGCCAAATTTCTTTCTTATTGCGGTTGCATTCATTCTGTTTGTTACTTTAAGGGTACATAAATTGCCAAAAGTGCGTACTGCCTTGACCCATTTAAACGATTCGTTATTTTTCTTTTAAACTAAATTCGTTGTGGGAAAATAGAACTGAAGTTTGTGCAAGATTACACTACAGAAAGCCTTAACATCATTATGAAGTTGGCTGTTCTACTAAAAAGAAGAAGTTGAGACACACAACGAAATCAAGAATGATAATAATAGGTAACTAAAATAGTTTTTATATTTCTTTATTCAACACATATTAACTTATAATTCAATATAAGTAAATATGATGGACAAACATTCCGTTCATTTCAAAGGAGCGACCCCTACAAACAGAAAAAAAAATAAATTTAAAAAATGTAATAGGTATAAATTATGATTAGGTACATACTTTTACGTATTGAATCCGCAGAAGTTAAATAAAAGACAGAACTCCAAACCACAACCGCCAGTAGAAAGTTCACCAAAGATGATTTTTTGAAATACATTTTTCCCTTTGTGTTATTCAACAAGTTGAAAATGTTGACTATACCCAGACCTTCTTTGCCTCGCTTTTATAGAAACTGTTATCTAAATTTTTGCGTGTTTAGTTATTTAAAAAAAATTAGGTATAAATAATTATTGCATTATCTAGTAATAAAGACGACAATTTTTATTTTTATGGCTTATTAATGGCTTTAACCATCATTTGAAATACTTTAATGAGCTTCATTCGCGTAGTTCTTTGTTGAAAAAATTGTCTTAAATTTTTTTTTGTAGACACTCCCGTAGTTCTAATTAATTATTATTGAAAGGTATTGGCGTCATTCGGTTCACCGAATTGGATAAAATAAACGGTGAAAACACGCACTCCGACACTGTTCTTGCATTAGTGAAGTTGCTGAAGTTCCACCATTAAATTTCACATACTTCAAGACGTGGTGCCGTAAAGAGCGAGGGTTATCTCCTGCCACTTGTTGCCAACTTGGAGAAGTAAAAACCCCACCAGGACTACAAGTTCCAACTACCCAAACTGTTTGTTACCCTGCGAAATGTATAAGGCCCGTCCTTGTTAATTTAGTTTACAACTTTATTACAATGAAGTCTGAACCACTCGCAAATTGATTTTTTCTTAGCTAATAGATGGGGTTTGGAAATTAATTGCGGCAATTAATTACGAAACAATTAACGACTTGAGATAGCGATGTCTACAGCCACTTAAAGGGATAACAGGGAATGCCACGTCTGCCTTTGATATCAATCGAAAGCTCAGATTTGTAGATCAACGTCTACAATTTGCATCCACTTTACTAAATCGGTCAATGGGGTTGATAATAATAATTGACAACGGCCTGCAGCATATTCTAGCAGTATCTTGACAGGATTGTGATCAAAGATGCCGCAGAATTATTAATTATTGTTCAATATAGATAACAAAGAGGGTTTACAAGTTTTTGAAAACTAAATAGAAGCAAATCACTCTGTATATGTTTTTCTGAGAGAGAAATACACCAAAATAAAAGAACAAATAAGATATTAAAAATCGTTTTATTTACAAAAATTTGGCATAAGAACATATACTTGAGGACAAACAACCAAAATGCAAAAATGTACAGCAATAAAAAGATCAAAAAAAATAAATTGAAAAATAAATGGGGAAACTTAAGAAAAGAATAAAATTAACAAAAACGGATCCCTAAATGAAAAATAAACAACTAAAATAAATGCAAAAAACTTTATAAGCTAAGGCAGCACAAGTTTCAAGCCAATATTTCGAGAAAAAAATCAATTGTTAAAGTTCTAAAAAAGACCCTTTTTGTTCGAGGAGTGTCAAGAATTATTAATTTTTTTTTGAATTTAGTATTTTTTTTTATTTAAATGCCTCTAGAATTTGGGGTTCTCGCCATTCGATAGATAATTAAGATCGCTTCTGGTGTTTTTTTCACTTTCTCGAAAATTCAAACTAATTCCGACAAAATGGGCCAAATTAGAATTCGCTCTGCTTACTTTCCGCTTATCACATCATGATATGCCTTCTATTTAAACAATAATCCGCAACGGTTTATTTCCATTAGGATGTATACGAATTTACTGCTGTTTCAGTGGCTGAATATTCTCCAGTTTGAGATTAAACCGACAAAATCCAACAGCTTGACGGGTGTAAGTCCTCGCACTCTGATAACTTCAACATTGTTATTTTAACCGTATACACGTCACGCTCTATTCATCGTCGGTTACAAAATCGGATTTATTCATTCATCGGTTTAACCGAACCGGACAAATTGGCCATTTTCACCCGAGTTCTGTTCGTGACTGATGTTGCAACAATCGAAACAAGAAACGATTTTAGTCAGATGCCGCCCGTTGAGAGCTCGAAATAATGAACACTCGTTATCTCTGCGATGTCACGAGTTACCCAATTTGGAGTTTAATTGATTCAGTCAGTTCCCGAAGGAAGGCTACCTTTTTGACATGACTCTAATGGGTCGCGTTAATAATGAAAATGGCTTTTATGAGAACCACACACGAACTATTCTAACATAAAAAATTTGTTCCAAAGAATTTGATTTTATTGAGGAATTTTCTATTAAGTTTTATGGAGTTTTTACGTACAGTTGATTTTTTTTTATTAAAAAATGATTTGTTTCAAAATTGCGGATTTATAAATAAAATGTAATAGAGATAAAAAACACAATTAAAATCCTTTTTGCTTCCACATCCTTCACCTCGGGCTTTTTGCCAGAGCAAATCTCTCTAATGTGTGCTTTAGCAACACGAAACAAAAACCAGACATAACTTCTTTTAAGCCACACTTTGTCAAATCAAATAAAGCTCACGTATTGTGCTTTTCTATCAAAAATGTTCAAAATAACTTAGTTTAAAGTTAGTAGAGTGTCGCAAGATCACTTCTACATTCAAGCTCAAGCAGCTACAATCAAATTATTCTCGCGAAGTATTGGCATAAGAGTTTTACCTATTAAAGTTTAACAAGCAAAGTTACAAAGCGCTTAGATAAACACTTTTTAATGTAAAATGCGAAAAAATGGAACTAACAGTGAAGGCACCATAATCGAATGAAATTGTGATAGCCTGAAATGTGATACAAAGCGTTATTGAGTTAACGACCATTATGCGATTACCAGGGTTTTGCTGGATTATGCCCTATTTTATCAAAAACGGTCACAGGGTTAATTTTGCACAAAAAAATCAAAAAAATTTAAAATTATACCAAATAACTTTTTGCAATTGTAATGGTCCTAAAGACGCAGAAGAGTGATAAAACGTTGAAAAACGCGAAAAATATGTGTTTTATAAAGCGTATGAATGAATATATTGTATAAGAACAGAGACATTGCCGGGGGCGTGGTGGCGCAGGATCATAAGGTCCGAGGTTCGAACTCCGGTCAATTGTAATAAGCATAATAAGAGAGCATAATCGCATAATAGCATAAATCATATAAAATAATGTTTGATTTTTCGAATAAAATGCTACACGTAAATAATTAATTAGAATTAAAGGAAGGTCTACAGAAAACTTGTTTTTGAATAATTTTTTAGACAAAAAACTGGGCGAAAATAGCTCATTAAAGTATTTTTTTTATTTTTGATGATTAAAATATAGTTATGTATTTTTTTGGTAAATACCGGGTGACTGTAAACGATTGTTCAAATTAATGTTTTTTTAAAATTTCAGTTTGGCAACTTTGACTTTCAAATTCAAACGTCAAATTTTTATAGACAATTATCATTAATTTGCGACGGACGTTTGCTGATTTAGCCGTCACCTGAAACATGCTGATATAACAAATTAGAAGGATTACCAATAATCCAGTGTTGCCAATAGATTTTTTGTCACAAACATTAATAGTCACCCGATAGTTGTTAAATAAGCCATAAAAATGAAAATTGCGGCCTTGGTTATAATGTATGTCTAATAAATATTTATACCTGCAATCAATCATTTTTTTTAATTAACTAAACAAGGAAAATTATTTTCATTTAATTTTTCTGTTCTGAACAAAGTTTTTGTACATCATATTTACTTATATTCAATTAGAAGTTGCATAAAGAAATATAAAAGCTATTTTAGTTACCTATTTTTGTTGTATTTCTCAATTACTTTTTTTAAATAGAACACCCAATTTCGCACTTCTTGTCAAATCAAATAAAGCTCACATATGGTGTTTTTGTTCTTTAAAACTGTTCAAAATAACTTTGTTTAAAGTTAATAAATATAGTGCCGTAGCTACAATCAAATTATTCTCCCAAAGTATTGGTATAAGAGTTTTATTTATTAAAGTTTAACAACAAAAGTTATATAAACACTTTTTAATGTAAAATTGTAAAAATGAAACCAGCAGTGAAAGCACAATAATTGAATGATATTGTGCAAGCCTGAACTGTGGTACAAAGCGTTATTGAGTTAACGACCTTAATGCGATTATCAGCGTTTCGCTGGATTATTTGGTGTTTTGTTAAAAACGGTCACGGAGTTAGTTTTACTCAAAAAATCGAATTTTTTTTTTAATTTTTTTTTAAATGGGACCAAAAAACATTTATGCGCCTTTGGGAGTCAAAAAATTTCAGGAAAGTGCATAAAACGTTATTGGGTCGAGTTTGAAAAAATTGAATTACTTGTTGCATACAGACTTTCAAGTTTATTTATCTCAATGTGTATTTTGCTTCAAATTAGTCAAAAGGTCGAAAATGCGAAAGAGTCGTGAAAATCCATTTTCTTTTTCCACTTTGCAGTTCCCTGCGTTTGATTAAAAATGTACACTGCGTTTAAAAGTCTGTTTGAGTTTTTGAATTTCATATTTACGGTCGAAGTACTTTGTGCATTACTTTTGGATAAATTAAGATCAAAGTCGGGGTGTTGGTGGAATATGTTATTACTTTGATTTTTATTTCAGAATTTATGATAACGTCAATATCACAATTTTATTAATTTTTTTGTCGCAGTTTTGCAATTAAAAAGTCAGACTCCACGTAATGAGCTTTTTCCTCTTTGTCAAGTTTGCATCATGTCACTCGCAATGAAGTGTTTTTAGTGCAGCTTTCACCGAAAGCTCTCCGACTTTTTAATTAATCTCGACCTTGCCTAAAGCCAAAAATTCTGAGATATTCTCGTCAATATTGTGGCCCTATTGTGGCCGTTGCAGACAATGCAAGCTCTGAAAGCTCCGAATTGTTGAACAAATATTCCCTATTTGAAGGTGAACGTTATTAAGTTTTCCGCAACACTAGTTCTATCAAAGCTATTAATAAAGTTACGGTGTTTGGGTGTTTGAAACAAATCAGCTGGAATTGAAACGTTTACGATGACGTGAATTGATCCTGAAAAAGGACCCGACTCTGGTTTATTTATTGGCTCCACGGCCAATTAATTTGTTTATTATCTCAAATTGAATAAATAATTCGAGACTAAGACAGTTGAGGTAATATTCCCAGCAGCCAAGCATCAGTGTCTCTAACACGGAGCCAAATCCGTGTTTGCTACCGAGTAATTCAATAAAGAACGTCACTCAAACTGAGCCCAGATTGCTGCCAGT